TGTATAACCAATCCAGTGTCTTTTGAAATTTGCTCAAGAGCTATTTTTTCATTTTCAGTCCCATGTTTCAATGATTTGACGTGACTATCTTTATATAGTAAATCTTTTACTAGGTTACTACAACTGATATTTGAACGCCTCTTTATAATTCGGCCGAAGTTAGAGGCTGTTAACAGTTTCCTTCTCAATTCCAGCCACTCACTGCATAAACTCTGTAAAATAGTATCTTTTTCAATTTTTTCTCTTTCTTCTTTGCTTTTCTTTAAATTATTGATGAAAGTAATTTTTTCTTTCTCCATTATTTCTGGAACTATATCCTCTCTAGTACAATTTTCACCATAATTTATATCGTTCCCTTTGCTAAATAGTAATCTATTCCTTTTTCTCACGCCTTTTGTTTTTAAGTATTTTTTTTCAGTAACATTCTTTGCTCAAGCAGCTTCACTTTTCCTTTAGGACTTTTTCCGGTGGCATATTTATAAGTCGTTAATAATAATGCACGAGTGTTATAGGATATTGCGGCACCTTTGCATCTGTTTTCATATCCACCCTTCAGGCTATAATTTATACGTTTTCCGCCAACTAGTTTAGCGATTATGCTATTGTAACTTTCAGCTTTATTACTTTCCACATTATGTATGAGACTCGGTGCGTGAGATGCAACGTTTGACATAATTTGGCAAATTTTGCTCCAAAGAGTACTTGTCCTAAATTCATTATCGCTAGTGTCTTCCGTATTAGGTTTGTTGCAGAAATATTGTTTGCAAGCACTATGGTCACCAAAGGCATGTATATGAGTCTGTAATATATCGTTATAAAGAAGTTCAACGTTCAACAAACGAGCACGTTTCTCGTATTCTAAATCGGATGTTTGCTTTTCAATTGCCTTTTTTATTGAAAACCTGATTGCCTTTATTTTTTGGTCTGTAATATTTTTTCTATAACGCAGAGGGTACTTGGTGTCAGTTTTCAATTGTGATAGCTTATTACATAAATTTCGCATTATGTAATTTTTGCACTCGATTTTTTGTACTGTTGTATTGCAGTATGGACGAGTTTCAATGATTTTGGAATATGTGGCGGAATCTCCATCACTTATCATCCTTCCATAAATCAGCCCGTGCATGTCAATGGAACATTTAAATCCTTCAACAAGTATAGATGACTCCATTCCTGTTGAAGGACCTGTATAATTTTTAAAACATTTATGTTCACGAGGCAACACTTTTTTATACTCTGCCTGTGCGCAAATACAACAGTACTTATTTTTAATACCGATGAACAGAATCTTCCCTGTTTTTTTTCCAATAATGACTGCTGCTCCTGATAACGCAGAGTAATTTTTTCTATAGCTGCGTTTACTCCAACAACCGTCGACAATTACGTCAACAATAGGAACATCATTTTCATCTATACGACCTCGCAGTTAGGCAAACTCTCGTTCTTCTTTCGCGGCATTGGTCATTGTTTTTAGTGAAATTCCTTCCCACATATTCGATATGTTTTCATGGCATTTTTGGTACATGTTGAAAGATATTGAAGGTAAATCTAAAGAGGCAGATAGCTCTTGGATTTGTGAATGACCACAACCAATTGCCACTGTCCCTAAAACTGCACAATTCATCATCATTCTCTAAACCATTTCCCATTATCTGGGGTCGGCGCAGTAAATCTTCTTGTTCCATTCCTCTCTATCAGCCGTCATTTCCATACTTACTCCTTTCATTCTCATATCACTCTTCACACAATCGATCCATCTTTTATTCGGCCTTCCTCTGCCCGTGTGTCCCTCCACATTCATATTCAACACTCGTTTTGTGACATGACTTTCATCCCTCCGCATCACATGCCCAAACCATGCCAATCTGCTTCCTCTCACCTTTTCTACCACTGGCGCTACTTTCAGGCTTCCTCTTATATACTCATTCCTTATCTTATCCATCCTTGTCACACCACACATCCATCGTAACATTCTCATTTCATTCGCATGTAGTCTATTTTCATCCTTCTTCTTGACGGCCCAGCATTCACTTCCATACATGACGACAGGTCGGATGATCGATTTGTAAATTTTCCCCTTCAGCCTTATTGGCATTCGGGGATCGCACGTTGTGGCTGTGACCTGTCGCCATTTCACCCACCCTGCGTTAATCCTATGCTGCACAGCTCTATCTATTCCGCCGTCGCCTTGAATGAGGGAACCGAGGTACTTGAATTCTGAGCAGGTAGGCAGTATAGCGCCATCCAACGACATGGGTACAGGACTGGAAAGACCGCCGAAATCACAGCACAGATATTCGGTTTTGGATCTGCTGATCTTCAAGCCAACACTTTCCAGCCTCTGTTGCCACCCCGTCAGTCTGCTCTGTACCTCGATGCTTTCTTCCCCGACAAGCACGATGTCATCGGCAAAGGGCATGCACCAGGGTGCCTCATCCTGCAGGTCCGACGTCAAAGCGTCCATAATCAGTAGGAAGAGGTAAGGGCTCAATGCCGACCCTTGGTGCAGCCCTACCGCCACATCGATACTGCCCGTAGTTCCCGCGGCAGATCGTACACATGTACGGGATGCTCTGTACATAGCACGGACTAACCTCACATACTTCCCAGGCATACCTTTCATCTTTAACGCCCACCACAAAACCTCACGGGGAACCCGATCGTACGCCTTTTCAAGGTCGACAAAAACCATGTGCAGATTTTTATGCACGCGCTTGTACTTTTCGCACAATTGGCGTAATGCGAAAATGGCATCTGTCGTACCTCGACCGGGCATGAATCCGAACTGGTTTTGTGTTATCTCACACTCTTCTCTCATTCTTTTCTCTATTATTCTTTCCCAGACTTTCATCGTATGTGACATGAGTTTTATTCCCCGGTAACTGCTGCAGTTTTGAACGTCTCCTTTGTTTTTAAAAATGGGGACCAGTATACTACTGCACCATTCCTCAGGTATTTGTTCTTCCTGCAACAATTTACCGAAAAATAAACTCAACCACTTCCATCCATCCGCACTCAGCAACTTCCACACTTCTACTGGTATTCCATCTGGGCCGACCGCCTTCCCATTCTTCATATTCCTAACAGCCATTTTTACTTCTTCCACACTAATTTCACTCACTAAGCCCATATTCACTGGTGGGTTTTCAAGCATACCATTCCATTCATTCTCCTCATTCATCAATTTCTCAAAATACTCCTTCCATCGCTTCTTTATACTTTCATCGTCAGTCAAAATCCTTCCAGAATCATCTTTTATACATTTTACATGTGAAACATCTCTTCCATTCCTTTCTCTCGCTTTTGCAATTTTAAAAAGTCGTTTTTGACCTTCGGGGCTTTCAAGGGACCGATATAATTTATCTTGCGCCTCTGCCCTACAAATAGCAACTTCCTTCTTTGCTCTCTTCTTACATTCTTTATACGCCCCTCTCTTACTTTCTTTTATGGAATCATTCTGGTCTTCTACGCTCTGCCATTCTTTAAAGGCATTTTTCTTTTCTCTCAAAACTTCTCTAATACTTTCACTCCACTACCACCCATCCTTATCTATCATACGCTTCCCTTTTGTTTCTCCTAACACCTTCCTTGCCACACTTCGGATACAATCAGCCATTTCCTTCCAGCACTCATTCACACTCATTCCTTCCATATCACCCATCTCTATCATCTTGTTTACAACTAGCTCTCTAAATTCACTTGCATACTCCTCCTTATGCAACAAATGCCACTTTATTTTGGGTGGGGGACGATCCTTATGTTTGTCGAGGCGAACAGTTAAGCAGATGTCAGCCAGCAGAATTCGGTGCTGGGATACTAAGTCTTCACCTGGAAGCACTTTGCAGTTTTTTACACTCTTGATTTGGTTCCGTCTTATCAGAAGATAGTCGATCTGTGTCGCGTGGTGGCCACTTTTATAAGTAACAAGATGCTGATCTCGTTTTTGGAACCACGTGTTTACTACAGCCAGGTCGAAAGCACATGCTGCTTGCAGAAGAACTTCCCCCTCACGGTTCCGCACTCCGTACCCCCATCCACCGTGTACTCTTTCATACCCGTCATTCACTCTCCCTACATGTCCATTAAAATCTCCTCCCATATAAACATCCTCACTCTCAGGTATTCCCATCATCATACAATCAAATTCCTCCCAAAACTTCTCTTTCACACTCTCTTCATAGCCTGTTTGCGGAGCATATACACTTACAACATTCACTACTTTGTTTTCAATCATTAATTTAATAACTATCATTCTGTCATTTACTCTTTTCACATCTGTCACTCGTTCTTTCATTCCACTATCTAACACAACTCCTACTCCATTTCGCTTCCCATCACTTCCACAATAATAAAACTTGTATCCTTCCCCAATCTCTCTTGCTTTATTGCCCTTCCATTTTGTTTCCTGCAAACAGGCAACATTCACTCTTCGTCGTTTCAAAACATCTGCTAACTCTCTTCCTCTTCCAGTCATCGTACCTACATTCCAGCTTGCAAACCTCACTCTGACATTCTTCTCTCTCCGGGCTCGCCTCTTACGTCGCACCCGCTCCGTAAGGTGCGACAACCCTTGCCCACTTCCCACAGGAGCCGGGTGCTGCCCCTGCGCGTCGCCTGCGGGGTACGCCCTAGCCCTGTCATATATCCCACAACTCGTAATATTCATAGGTTTACTGCATGGGATTTGGCAAAAGTTTTACAGTCGGCCGCCTGCCTGACACCAACCCTCTTTGGGTATGCTATTGTTGGTAGAGGAAGCTACCATTTTGGGAAAAGGAAAAAGAAGGTTGGGGGTAGGAGCGCAGGTGTAAGGATACTGTTATCTCGGCAGGAAAGGTATGAGAATAACAGTAGCTCGGGGAGCCGGGGTCGCGTACCCGTATTCCATAACAGGATCACCGGAAAGGTAGACCAGCATGAAAACCCCCTGACTATTAAAAAAAAAAAACTGCACAATTGTTGATGTTCATTTCAACCTTCATCGCTGGAGATAAAAAATTTCATGTTGCATAATTTGCATTGAAGCGTAAAAGTTGATAACCGGTTTGTTTTTCAGAAACAATTTCCGCGCTACCGAGACCACAATTGAAAGGTCTATGCGAAGATACCTCTTGTAATTTTAAATAAAATGTTTTTAAATTGAGAATTCTTCGACCTTCAAGTCGATATGTTTTCTCAGAAGATTCGGCCGTGTCTACCTGTAAATAATTAGCATGATTTTAATCTAAAATTAAATTATTCAAGATATTTAAGTGCATTGTAAGATCAAATCGATAGTACATACTTCACAAGGAGCTGAATAATCTTCAAGTTCTTCAACAGACCTTACAACATGCTTGTGAGTCAACATGTCAATCGGTGGAGAACGTAGTTTTTGAGTGCTCAATTCATCTTGTGCCTAAAATGAAAGCAGTTATACATATAGTTACAATAAAAATAAAAATAAAATACGTATATGTAGTTATTACAAATTATTACTTACATTTACCTCCAAATCCATAGAATCACCTTCAACTTCTCTGATAGAGCTAATTGATTCACTACATAAGGGTAGTGATTTTTTTATTTGATTTACCTCACCAAAACATTCCTTAAAAATATTTACATGATTAGATAAATAAAATTGCATGTCAAGTTTATTTCTTTGTATAATATATAATGAAAAAATAAACTATATAATGAATAAATAAAAAAAGATTAAATTAAAACATAAACATAATATATTTATTATTGAAAATAATTAAGCCGGTAATCGACAAATTAACAAATTACTAGCAAGTACCTAACCTATAATCATAATTAATACCTACTTCAGGAGCATTTTCAGTTTTGCCAAAGTTTTCGTCGGTAGTTGTAGCTAAACAAGACCTGCAAAAAAAATTAACTTGTCATAAATAATCACAACGAATCAGAATAAATTAATAAATAAATATACTTTACATAAGTACCGAAAAGAAAAATTTATAATAAGTATTGACTGAAAGTATTGAAAGTATTGCGTGAATATGGTCCTTCTGTGATCATTCACTACTCTATGGCACAGAAGTATTATCACGGTAATATTATCTATACAGTACTGTGACTCGGCCGTATCATAAATGCCTACAACCGCGCGGTACGTAAACATGCGATAGGGCTGCGTGCCTCCACCATTTTTACATTTGCCTACTTTGTGTTTCCATTTAGTTTTATGATTGTAAATATACTTTTTTATATAAACAAATATAATAGGTACTTTTTGAATTGAATAGGAAGTGTTCAATAAAAATTCGTGTCGTTTTTTGATTAAGAGATTTAATTAAAAAACCATGTTTGTTTGAATAACAAATCGGTCTTATGAATTTGCGACCGAAAAATATTTGCACCTCGGCTGAGACGTACGAAATGCTTTATTATTAAATTTTTAAGTATAGAAAATCCGCATTCTAATATAAAGCTTAATTAAAATTGTTTTGGGAAACGTGGACACGGTCACGGTAATATTATTATAGATAATATTACCGTGACACGGTGGAGAAAAGGAATGTCTTTTACTTGGTTATAGAGGTATCTATATTCTATAACCAAGTAAAATATATTTTACAATTTATATGTTTGGTTTTAAATGAAGTTCGGATTTATTATGACTTTATTTCTATTCTATTATTTATTTCCTCCATTTTTTTTATATATTCCACAAAATCATCACTGCGGCACAGTCACGGCTGTCTGCATGCCGAGCGCATGCCGAGATCGAGGTGCATAGGCACAGCTCTCGTTTCATCCGTTTCTATGAAGTTGGAATACTGTATAGATAAAATTACCGTGGTATTATACTTACTACGACTTTGTTTGAATATAGGTATTTTATAAACAGCACCTGTCTAATATTATGAAATATGTAGATAAAACTTAAAACTTACCTTGATAAATGTATACCCTTTTGTTTGTAATATTTTTTTAGACCTCTCTTCAATCATTTCTGCTTATTCCCCATGTTTTACAAACTAAACTTAAACACTAATAAAACTGTACAATTAATATAACTATAAAACACTACTATTAAACAAGAATCAGAAAAAACCTACTCCACTATTAACAAAATTAAATTTTTGCAGTAATATTTTACGATTTTATTTCGTAGTGCTGAGCTCTCGCAACGCGGCGTACGTCCACCTTGCAACACGATGCGCCCCGCACTGAATTCGTGGACAAATACGGGGGTGATATAGATGCAGTATTTAATCGGGACGCATTTTTAATTTATTATCATAAAAATAATACATATTTTTTAGTTATTATGTGACACCGATAGAAAAATTATGGCTAAACCAAATTACGGATCATATCATGTAGATTACTAGCTATTTTTTTCATACGTAATTTCTCTGTAAGTGTCGACGAAAAGTTGGTTCATCTGCACGCTTTTTTCAAGCTTTTTGCGAGAGAGCAGCCTTAAATGCACCCATAAAGCCTGCTGTGCTTAGATCACCAACGAGTTCTATATGCACCGCCCTTGTAGTTAGACATACGAAAATGCAGACGTAAGCCTTTGTGGATCTTATACCACGCCCGCGAGTGAGCGTGACCTTAAACGGACCAGCGAAATTAGACCCGGTGTGCGTAAAGGGCTTTACTGATTATATTACTCGACAAGATCTAAGTTCCGCCATTTCCGGAAATGACGGCTTGGGGCGTGTCCGAAAGCAAGCTATACATCTATGCACCCGATTGCGGATTAAATTACGTGCAGAAAGAATCCAATAATTCTGACGCAAAATCGACATCAGCAAGTCGGGGCCAGCGTGCGAATTCAATTTATGATGGTAATCGACTAATAAATTCATGATATGGTCTTTACGCGGTAAAACTATAGGGTGCCGTTGGTCGAAACTCAACTGCGAGTTGGACAAGCGTCCACCTACCCTTACAATCCCATTCTGTAAAAATGGCTTAAGGCGTTGAAAAGCGCGACTACAAGCTCTACTCGATTGTAATCTTGTAATTTCTTCCGAGAAATGCGCACGTGAAGTTGTAGTTCACGCAATACTAGCAACTCGGCATAGTCGTAATCGGACGCTAAGATATACGAACGTCGCGGTAAAAGCTTCGCGAATCGACAAATGTAAATTACGCTACGCAATAATTTCGACCAAGAGGACAAGCGGTTCGCCAAAGCAATGATTGGAGAAACCTCGCTCGAAACGTTCGCCACTAGAGCGTGTTTCTTCTCTTCCGGCGGTTGTGACACTGACGAAGGTTCGAAATCGGTTATTGGCCATTGCGAGGGATCCAAGTGAACCCAAGAAGGTCCGTGGAACCAAAGCGGGTGGTCCATTATTTGCATCGGAGTGAGTCCACGGGATAGACAATCGGCAGGGTTTTCCGTACCGGACACGTGATAATAGTTCTGCGTTTCTAACTCGTCTTGGATCTTGACCACTCGGTTCGCGACAAACGTATCTCAACGGTGGTGTGAAGAATGAACCCAGCATAAGGAGACCGTGGAGTCGGAAAAGGCAAATATCCTTTCTATGTGAACTCTATCCCTACATGCGCTGATAACTGTGGTAATAAGCTTGGTGAATACTAATATTGCGCAAAGCTCCAAGCGCGCCAGAGAGACAACCTTACGGGGGGAGACTCTCGACTTAGAACTAATGAGGCTAATCGAATTTCTTCCATTATTCTGGATGTGGAAATATACAACGCCCCCGTAAGCCTTCTCGCTGGCATCTGCAAACCCAACGACCGTGATGACGCTATTTCTATCAACGTTTATATGACGTGGTATTTTAATTTCTCTTAATAAAGGAAGTTCCTCTCTAAAACGCTGCCACAACCGAACAATGCTGTCAGGCGGCGAGTCATCCCAATCGCATTCAAATAACCAAAGTTGTTTAATCAAAAGCTTAGCGTATAATACCACCGGAGCTACGAAACCCATGACATCCCATAATCTAGCAACGCATGACAGTATTGTGCGCTTTGTGCACTTCTCTGCGGGCGGATTTACCTTAAGGCTAAACACGTCGGACTCTGGTGACCAACACAGATCGAGCACCTTGTGTGTATCAGAATCGTCGAATTCCTTTATCGCCGAAAGACGGTGTGATAGTGGGATTGTGTCTAAAACCGGACGCGAATTACTACTCCACTTGACAAGATCGAATTGACCCGATTTCATGAGCTTTATAACTTCGGCGGTGGTTAAGGTGGCCTCCTCCACGCTATCGACCGAGTACACAAAATCATCCATATATAATCCACTTTCAATTGCCCTCTTAGCTTTAGGATAAGAGGGACCTTCATCGAGGGAGAGCTGTCTCACCGTGCGTAACGCATGAAATGGGTTCGACTTTAAACCAAAGCAAACGCGGTTAAATTCAAACACCATTAGAGGTTCCTTTGGGTTGAAACGATATAAAATGCATTGGAATCTACGGTCGCATTCACGGACCCCCATGCAAAGAAACATTTGGCGAATATCGGCGGATAGTGCTATACTAAACAAACGAAAATTGGCTATTATATCAAACAAACTGCCCTGTAAATTTTGCCCACTATAGAGGATATCGTTAAGCGACAGGTGAGTGCTAGTTTTAGCACTAGCGTCGAGTACAACACGTAACTTAGATGTAAGTTTGTCCTCCCTAATGACCCCGTGATGTGGTATGAAATACGACGATGTGTCTTCGTAGTTATCTAATTTCGAATCCACAAGTGTTATGTAACCTTCCCTTATATATTCGTTAATGACGCCGTCATAAGCTTCTTTTAACTGGGATGAAGCGAGCATCCTACGCTCCAAGGTGTAGAAACGTTTTTCCGCCATTTGACGCGAATCGCCGAGAGATAAAACATCTCCTTTAAAGGGTAGCGCTACGCTATATCGACCGTCACGATCACGAACGGTCGTGCGGACGTAAATTTCCTTGCACACTCTATCATCTGGGCTAATATATATAGGTGGAACGTTCACCTCCTCCATCTCCCAAAATTTGCGGACCAACGACTCGAGCGGTTCGACAGCCATACCACAATAAGAGATTGCCGAAATACTATCCATGATGGGGGCGGAGCCAACGATTACATAGCCCAAGACGATTTCCAATGCGTAAGTCGCGGTATGCGAGGAGTTGCCCCTGACCTTATTGTTTAACAAAAGATGAGGGAAAAGCGATGCTCCAATGAGCATGTCTATATTTCTGGGAACGGCGTAAGTGTCGTCTAGTAGAGTCAAATTTTTAAATTCAATCATTGCCGGTGTCAGGTGTCAACCGAAACAGTTGGCCGCCGTTCAGTGACTTTATCTACTACTAGTGCATTTATATCAAAGTTAACATTACGATCTATCCGAGAATAAAATTTTAAATTTATATATCCCTGGGTAACGCAGTCGTACGTAGTCGCGTTATAAAGCTATTTTGGGCTCCGCTGTCCAGCAGTGCACGGACGCTTTGTTCGTTTCCACGCGAATCCCTAACCAAAATACGTGCCGTACCCAGTAACACGGTTGAAGGAGGTTGTGCTCCCATATTTGCCAATGAGCACAGAGCGACATCACCAGGTCGACCGCTAGAATCGTTGACTTTAGTAGGAGTGAATTCCTTGTCCGCTTTACTTGACGCAGATATGTTGCTATTTTCGAAATGTAGCAACGTGTGATGTTTTCTGGCGCACTTGTTACACGCGGAACTAGAATTGCATTTTGCAACTAAATGCTTATCGTTTAAACAATAGACATAAGTTATTCGTCCTTACTATTCTATAACGTTCGCTTGGTGAATGTTTACGAAAGGTCGCACAATTGTATAAATTACCGTGTTGTTTATCGTTACATATGATACGGGCATGCTGAAGTGGTGCCGACGTAGCGGTTACGTACG